GACCCATTGATACACAAATGTTTGCTCGAGCTTTCGTGGCAAATAAGTGCGCGAGAAATGGTAAAAGCAAACACATGCAAATGCGCAGATTGCGGGGCGGAGCTTTGGCTTTGCACACTTTTTGGAATTGCGCCAGAGTTGCGGAAAATTGCGCCCGAGTAGCGGGAAATTGCGCTCGAGTTGCGGGTTCGTTTTCTCTCGGGCACTTCACCAAGCATCTAGGCAACCTCAAAAAGTGCTCGAATTGGATTTGAGCAGAAAAAAACGCTTGAATGCCAAAAACTGTCTGGAGCACTTTTTTGTGTATCAAAGGGTCCTCCAGGAAGAATAATAGTAATAATAATAATAAATATGTAGCATTATATAGTCAGGGTTGCACTTTTTACCCCAAGGACTCAAGCCCAGAACTTTTCCCTAGGGGAATGAACCGGGCTTAAGTCTACCTTGTCGAACAGAACCCTGCCAGTTGGATGGCTCCAGACAGTGGGCAGGGTGCAAAGAGAATCACACATGGTCGGATTCTTGTCATGTTTCGATCCTAAAAGATCAGCACTAGTCTTGGAGATCTCAGGGACATCGAACCAAACCCAAGCAAAAAAAACAAGAAACATCTGCAGTCCGGGTCGCATTGTTTGAGCCACCGGCTCCGGGTGTTTCCCTTGGGGAAACACCCATCGTCCAGCTGTGGTAGGGGCCCTTCTTGCAGTCGTCCATTGTTGAAATCCCACAGAAAATGGTGTTACAGTACCACGGAACTGGGGTGATCTGCACTGGGACTCTTCCTTATCATTTTAAGCCCAACATAAAACCCAAGATTGACATAGTTGGTCTGACCACAACCAAACATCTGTGGGATAGGGCTGAGCTGTTTGCCGCAGAGCCAAGCGATGCCTCACTGGGAGCCTTTGGGTGAGAGGGTGGAGCTTTCAAACTGGTTTGGGCTTTCCTTTCGGTGTTCCTTTAACACCCCCAACAAGAAACCAAAAACAACATCAAAAAGGGGGGTGGGTATACTCAAACAAAGACAGACCCATTTGCTTCATTTGCACTGCCGGAAGCTCCCCCACAAAAAAGATCCTGTAAATGAATAGGAATCCCCATAGGAACGCCCGGGGTCCTGGAAAAGATTATTTTTTGGTGCGGGGGGTCAATCGACCATAGGCGTTGGGGTGTGTTTGTTTTTTTTGGGTTGCCCAGTCTCACCCATTTCCAATTCGGCTTTCTTCGGGGAGAATCGCCTGGAATCGCCTGGGGCCAGCGCCACATGAAGAGAGTGCTGTCGGCCCTCTTGCGCTGCACCACGGCCTTTTTTTTTTTTTCGGAGAAAAAGACGCCGCTGGACAGCCAGCCTTCGGGGTTCAAATGTTGACCCCGAAATCAAAAATATGTTTATAAACCCCAGTCAATCAGGTGGAAGAAAGAAATCCCACAACTAAGAAGGGTCCCCCCTGACACAATGGAGGGTTTATTCATCAGGGGTCAACGTGATTTTTCATTATCGTGCGCCTGCCGGGCCATTTAATCGGCAATTGCACGGTTTTGCGGTTTCCACTTCCAGGATTACCGTGTCAAAATGAGCCAAGACCTCAAACTAAGGCACATCTTGCCACAAACACCCAACAGGACGGGCAAACGACTCCGGTGGGCTTTGGGTACTTGAACATGCAAGGGGTCTTGTGTACGGACAAATCTGGATTTGCGAGATTGTCTGTGTGCGTTCGGTTTTTCATGTTTGTGCGGAAATTTACAGTGTAGTTACGGTTTTGGCACGGTACGGGTCCAAAATCGAAAACCCAGTTCTTCCTATTCCTTCCAGAACCAGGTTTTCTCGGAAAGAACATGCAAACCCATGTTGTTTGGTTCTGACCCACTCTAGGTTTAGCTGCTGCCTAAGGCCGCTAGGGCTATGCTGCTCTTAGTGACCCGATATCAGCTGCTTGTGGGATCTGATCCACCGAAACATGGCCGCACCGCGCTTGGAAGTTGCAACATGTCGCGCTTCTCGCCTCCTTGACTCTGAACCTCAGCCGGCATCGCCTGCGCCGAGTCGGCAACGTGCTCAAAATGCGGGAGCCCTCTGTCATTGCAAGGACACAAGCAAGAAACTCACACAAAGGCTTAGCGCTTTAGTCACGCCCAAACGGGATCGCCTTGTTAGACAGAAGTTTCCGTGAAGCATGTGTTTGTCTCCAACAGGGGTCACTGGGTTTCTCTCAAAGTTGATCAATTTACTGGGCTGCATTGAAACGATCGAACACCACTTTTGGACGTCCAAACAAGGAGATTTATTGGGACCCCTGTAGCCTGAACGTTTCAAACGAAACCCCCTAGCCTGAACGTTTTAGACGAAAGACCTCCCCCCCCCAAAAAATTTGCGGAGATCCGCACCTGGGTGGAGAGCCACCTCGAACTGCGAAAACGGCTGCGTTTCAGTCTCGGCATTGGAAACCCGGTCGTGTTTCAAAAGCATGAGAAGAGTTCGGCCCAAAACTTTGTTTTGAAGACTTGCTTGAAGCACCCACATAAGCCAGCGGCTGAACCAACCATGAGATGACTATGGATCCGGACCCTGATGAAACAACCGATCGGCAGGAATCGCCATCTATGTTCTACCAAAACAACCAACCAGCACATCAGGTTCACATTTCGCTTATAAGGAACAAACACACAAACACACATGACATAGGTGAAGGTGCCGCTCGTATGCATGGCCCACCGCCCCTCTCTTGCTCTGAGCCAACCGCTGGCTCCGCATACCTCCCACCTCGAGAGAAAAGCACTGGGCTGGTCGAGGAAAGCCCAAAGGACCACCGAAGTTGGGGGGGTCCTCTAACAACACACACCACACAACAGCCCAGGATGCGTTTGCAATCCATGGAAGTTACTTGGGAAAGCTAATAGAGTGTTTTCAAAATAAGGGGGGCCCGCCGCAAAATGCCTGGCAATTTCGTGTTTGCTTCCCTTTACAAACAGCAAACCCGTGAAACTTAAGGATGCATCGGATTCGGGAAAAGCCGAGGAATGCGAATCTCCATCACCAGCGGGTTGGTCCCAAAGCCGGGGCCCCGAGCTGGCAAGGCGGCGGCACTTTGCAGCTGCACCTGCGATGTCGAGTGCAGTGTGGTGGGTGGGTGGGTGGGTGGGTGGGTGGGTGGGTGGGTGGGTGGGTGGGTGGGTGGGTGGGTGGGTGGGTGGGTGGGTGGGTGGGTGGGTGGGTGGGTGGGTGGGTGGGTGGGTGGGTGGGAGGGTGGGTGGGTGGGTGGGTGGGTGGGTGGGTGGGTGGGTGGCTGGGTGGGTGGGTGGGTGGCTGGGTGGCTGGGTGGCTGGGTGGCTGGGTGGCTGGGTGGCTGGGTGGCTGGGTGGGTGGGTGGCTGGGTGGCTGGCTGGCTGGGAGGGTGGGTGGGTGGGTGGGTGGCTGGCTGGGTGGGTGGGTGGCTGGCTGGGTGGGTGGCTGGGTGGCTGGGCGGGTGGTGTTGGCTCAGCCAAGCTTACGAAACATACATCATTAAAGCACATACACAGTGATGCTTTACCAGTTGTGTTCGATGCACTGAGTCTTTCTGGCGAGGGGGGTGCCGACATATCTGGCATCTCCGCTGGGAATTTAGGCATCAAGTTCAACCACTACACCACCGCACATTTTTCAGGCCCTATCCGCGTGTCCCTATTCGCAGGCCGTCCTCAAGGCCATGGGTCAAAATCCCGTACCCCCAGTGAACATCCCAATCCCCACTAAAATAGACTAAAACGGGTGGTGCACCTACCCCAAAAATGGGGCACCATTGGTTTTGACCCACCACCAAGTCTGTGAACTCAGCGAGTTCCCCGCCTCTGGAGCAAAGAGTTGTACCTACGCGCGTTTAGCTGCCAGGGCATCCACACCATGCACTCAACCTCATGAGCGACTCATCAAGCTCATGTTTCTTCCTACCAGAAAACCCTCCGAAAATGGTGGTCGTCCTTTTGGTTTCCCTTTCAAATCACCCCAAAAAGATAAACAGGAAACCATAAAGGATACATGCACACCCAATGTGGCCAACATCGGGGTGCCAACTGCTTGCCTCAAGCCTCGACCCCGGGGCACATCATGTGGATCCATTTGGAACACCAGGCATGACATACGTTGAGTGTTAGCCGTGATCGTCTCTGTTATGCCTTCTGCACAAGGGCAAACCGAGCTCCGCGAAATGTCTCCATTCATTTTTACGCATTTTGAATATTTTGTTCATGGCCGAGGACATTTTAACATTTGTCTGCGTGCTGGTGTTGTCGTGAGTTGTTCGCATTTCACCCAATGCAAAGGTTAAATCTTCCGAATGCTTGACGCGCGTGCGGATAAAGGGTCCTGATAGCCGGCTTCCTCTTCATGTTTGAACCGAGCTGGAGCAGCCATTCCCATGACTCATGTGTCGCAAAGGCCCGGATGCTACAAGGGCATTTCATCGGATCCTCATGTTTCTTCGCAAATCACACATCCCACATCTTCGGGGTGCTTTGAATGCTGCAAAACACAACCTCTGTACCCTGTTCTATACTATGTTCATGTTTGTTGTTTGCTTTTTGGTGCACATGGCAAACTGAGATGCAACATCCGTGGCATGTGCCTGTCTTGAATTGATCTGATGTGGATACGCACTGGAAAGCTACGAACTCACAATTCGTGTGTCTGTCCTTGTTGAAGGTTCCCATTTTGGAGTGGCTTTAAGGGGAACCGAAAGGAATCACCGCTATGTTTTGGGGCCCCCATTTTAGGACACATCCGTTCATGCAACAGCTCCACTTCATTCTGCTCCGAGCCATGCAATTCATTGCTGCCAGTTTGTACATGTTCCCCTGCCCGAAAAGTAATACCTTGTTAGTTGGGATCCTCCAGGCATGATTCCTGGAATTACGATAGCTTCGGAGTATGGGACACCTTTTACTAGGACAAAAGCCACACGTGTCGAGTTTTCACAAAGTCACATGAGTCCGGGCTCATCCTGCTTTGCACCTTTTCTACATCAGCCAGTCTCGGAGCGGCTGGCCTCGCCCTGGCCATTGCGGACATGCCCGGAATGTCACCCCAAAAAGACCGAGAGGGCTCACCCAAAGTCGAAGCCATCAACTTGTTACTTTCATTCGATAGGGGCCCACCCAAAACCGATGCCGTTGTCGGTTGCTCGCATCATACGATACACACCGATAGCTCAAGCCTCGCTGCACCTGTTCTGCCAGGAGTGCATGGTGTTTGGTCGTAATCAGAATGCAACGGCCATGGAGAACCATGGCAAAGCTTCGAATCTTCCACTGCAGCAAACAAACTCAACATGAAGCAAAAGCGGAGAAGCGCGCCACTCTCTTTTCTTTACCAGTACCAGTCTGCCACAGTTCTCAAAATGTCCTTGACCTCTGTATGCATGGATGCCGCTGTTCATTTGCCCCAGCAGCTCTAGCTCATGATGTACCATCGCTAGGTTCATCTGCCGATAGCGACGTCGACAGGGGCGAAGCATTCACACCATCCAGTATTTGAAGCATGTGTCACATTTGAAGTATTTGAAGTCGTTGTGCCACGGTTCTTTGCAACACATGCCCACACCCCAAGAGTGATAGACACATTGATGGCGATTGCTTGACGACTACCATCACTCAAATGGTGATAAGGAAAGTGTTGCCCACTTTCAGATTCCTTCCACCAGTCAGGGAAATGCTCTACAGAAAGGATTTTCTGTACTTGTGCAGGGGATCGTTGAGACTCATTCCAGGTACCCTGCCCACCAAATGCCTTCTGTTTGGAGGGAGGGCCCCGAGTGGATGGATGAGTCATGAGGCAAGTCACGGAAAACTACCAAGAAGAAAGCACCAAGCATGCGCCTGGAGGCCGAAAGTGGCGAGTGCCTGCACCGAGAGATACCTGGGCAAGGTTCCACATGGAGACTTCAGCTTTGAATGAGTAGAACATATATCATATATCGATATATATATATATATATATATTAGGGCTTGCCTCTATCAATAAATTGCATGCCTTCTTTACGCGGGCAAGGAGGGGCTGCACAGGCTTTCCGACTCGGCAACATTTGTGTGGGTTATTTACCCCCAATTTTGTTGGTAATTTACCCCCAATTGTGTTGGTAATTTACCCCCAATTTTGTGGCAATTTATCCCAAGTTTGGGACTCGTTACTAACCCCCAATTTTGGAAATTTGGGGGTTAATAACGAGTCCAAAAATTGGGGGTAAATCCCAGGTTTCCCAACGGTATACGAAGATTTACCCCCCCAATTATTGGACTCGTTATTAACCCCCAAATTTCCAAAATTGGGGGTTAATAACCACAAAATTGGGGGCAAATTACCCACACGATTGGGGATAAATAACCCACACAATTGGGGGTAAATTACCGACAAAATTGGGGGTAAATAACCAACAAAATTGGGGGTAAATAACCAACAAAATTGGACAAACTTGTGGGTAAATAACCCACAAAATTGGGGGTAAATTACCGACAACATTAGGGGTAAATAACCAACAAAATTGGGGGTAAATAACCAACAAAATTGGACAAAATTCGGGGTAAATAACCCACACAATTGGGGTGAAATTTGAGGTAAATTGGTGGTAAAGAGTTACTGCTACAGGCAAGGCTTAATATATATATATACATATATATATATATATACATATAATATGGGAGTCTTCTTTTAGAAGGGACCTTCCCGGAAATGGTGTTCCCGCCAGGTTTCTTTTAACACCGCGAAGGGGTACCCTCGAACGAGACACCCATATATGGTTAGTAGGCTTCTCGGAATTCTTGCAATCCAAGCCTTAGGCGGGGCTCCAAAAAAACACAAAGCAAGGAATCGGCGTCCGCCGATTCAAAGCAAGGAAGCCAGAAACGCCGCCCCTCTCGCTCCCCTTTCATGGGGCCTGGAGGAGAGGGAGGGGAGGGACACCAAATCAGCTCTCAAGCCCTAAGGCCTTATTTTGGGCCCCCATCCCCCCTAATGTTGACCTATGATTAATAAATAGGCCCCCCCCCCCCTGAATGACAATAAATAAAGATTAGGGGAGAATAATCAGGGTCGGGCCTTGTTTAAAGGAGTTTAGTATTGGGCGCTGTTTTTTGGGTTTTCGAATACTACTTTAGAATTCGGCCAATTCAAAAGTAGTATTGGGCATGTTGTTTTTTTCTTATTTTGCTTTGGGGGAATACTAGTTTAGAATTGGGCCAATTCTAAAGTGGTATTGAGCCAAGAACTTTTGCATGCGTTTCATGAGGGTTTGCATGGGCAGGCATGCATTCCAGGAGGGATTGAAAAGGACATTCATGAGGGTTTGCATGGGCTGGCATGCATTCCAGGAGGGGATTCATGAGGTGCATTCTAGGAGGGGTTGAGAAGGACATTCATGAGGGTTTGCATGGGCTGGCATGCATTCCAAGAGGGATTGAGAAGCATATTCATGAGGCTTTGCATGGGCTGGCATGTATTCCAAGAGGGATTGAGAAGGACATTCATGAGGGTTTGAGTGGGCTGGCATGTATTCCAAGAGGGATTGAGAAGGACATTCATGAGGCTTTGCATGGGCTGGCATGCATTCCAAGAGGGATTGAGAAAGAAATTCATGAGGGTTTGAGTGGGCTGGCATGCATTCCAGGAGGGATTGGGAAGGAAACTCATGAGGCTTTGCATGGGCTGGCATGTATTCCAAGAGGGGTTGAGAAGGCAATTCATGAGGCTTTGCATGGGCTGGCATGCATTCTAGGAGGGATTGAGAAGGAAATTCATGAGGGTTTGCTGGCATGCATTCCAGGAGGGATTGGGAAGGAAATTCATGAGGGGTTGCATGGGCTGGCATGCATTCTAGGAGGGGCTGAGAAAGAAATTCATGAGGCTTTGCGTGGGCTGGCATGCATTCCAGGAGGGAGGACATTCATGAGGGTTTGCATGGGCTGGCATGCATTCTAGGAGGGGTTGAGAAGGACATTCATGAGGGGTTGCATGGGCTGGCATGCATTCCAAGAGGGATTGAGAAGGAAATTCCTGAGGCTTTGCATGGGCTGGCATGCATTCTAGGAGGGATTGAGAAGGAAATTCATGAGGGTTTGAGTGGGCTGGCATGCATTCCAGGAGGGATTGGGAAGGAAATTCATGAGGGTTTGCATGGACTGGCATGCATTCTAGGAGGGGCTGAGAAGGACATTCATGAGGGTTTGCATGGGCTGGCATGTATTCCAAGAGGGGTTGAGAAGGAAATTCATGAGGGTTTGCATGGGCTGGCATGCATTCTAGGAGGGGTTGAGAAGGACATTCATGAGGGTTTGCATGGGCTGGATGTATTCCAAGAGGGATTGATAAGGAAATTCATGAGGGTCAATGTGTTGATTTTGATGGTTTTTCTAGAAGGAATTCTAAGACAAAGGGATCCCAGAAATTTGTGGATTTGGGATACATCTAGAATCAGCCAAGTGGAATGGAAAGCATGACCATGAATAAACATAAGGGGATCAGATCTATTTTTTGATGGTGGAATCTGGTTAGCATTATTCATGGTCTGGTTATTATTTAGTGCCTCAGGGTTCATGGGGGGTACCCTTGCTGCCAGGGTCAATGTGTTGATTTTGATGTTTTTTTTACAAGGAATTCTAAAAGAAATGGATCCCACAAATTTGTGGATTTGGTATACATCTAGAATCAAGTGTGGGATGAGCCAAGTGGAATGGAAAGCTTGACCATGAATAAAGATAAGGGGATCAGATCTATTTTTTGATGGGGGAATCTGGTTAGCATTATTCATGGTCTGGTTATTATTTGGTGCCTCAGGGTTCATGCGGGGTACCCTTGCTGCCAGGGTCAATGTGTTGATTTTGATGGTTTTTTTTTCAAGGAATTCTAAAAGAAATGGATCCCATAAATTTGTGGATTTGGGATACATCTAGAATCAAGTGTGGGATGAGCCAAGTGGAATGGAAAGCATGACCATGAATAAACATAAGGGGATCAGATCTATTTTTTGATGGGGGAATCTGGTTAGCATTATTCATGGTCTGGTTATTATTTAGTGCCTCAGGGTTCATGGGGGGTACCCTTGCTGCCAGGGTCAATGTGTTGATTTTGATGGTTGATTAAAAGGAATTTTAAAAGAAAGGGATCCCACAAATTTGTGGATTTGGTATACATCTAGAAGCATGCAAATCCCATGGTAAACCAGGTTTGCCTGGCATGATCCCTCGATAAATTCACTATGAAACCGTGCAAATCCCATGGGGGATGAGGGTTGGGAGCACTGACCCTGAATAAAGATTAGATGCCAAAAGCGTACAAATCCCATGGTAAATCCCTGGACAAATTCACTATGAAACCATGCAAATCCCATGGGGGATGAGGGTTGGGAGCACTGACCCTGAATAAAGATTGGATGCCAGAAGCATGCAAATCCCATGGTAAATCAGGTTTCCCTGGCATGATCCCTGGATAAATTCACTATGAAACCATGCAAATTCCATGGGGGATGAGGGTTAGGAGCACTGTCCCTGAATAAAGATTGGATGCCAGAAGCATGCAAATCCCATGGTAAATCAGGTTTCCCTGGCATGATCCCTGGATAAATTCACTATGAAACCATGCAAATTCCATGGGGGATGAGGGTTGGGAGCACTGACCCTGAATAACAATCTGCATTTTGCATGGATCCCAAATGTCAATTCTAGGTTGTTTTGTGAGCTGGCGAACTCACGATTCATTCAGTCATGTTGGGGGAAGGTTATTTTTTTGTATTTTGTCATATTTTTCCCCTGGGAAAAAAACGGTTAGCATTATGTATGGTATATTTACTATTTTTTCGGGAAATCGGATAGCATTATTTATGGTATATTTACTAATCGTAGGTCAACATTACCTTAATGGGGGAGGGGAGGGGGGTCCCACAATTCCATTTATTCAGTCTTCCCCACAAAAGGGATAATGGAACCCTAACTGGGAATTCCTCGGTCACCCCCCTCTCAATTCCATTTTGAAGGGGGTGGGGATGGCCCCCCCCCCTCTCCCCTCTCGCTCCCTCCAAAACCGGCCTGACATCTCCAAGCTTCTGCAGGGCCTCTTGGATGGAGTCGTCCCTCCAACCCACGCCTGGATCCGTCCAGTTCTCAGGTCTTGCCAAGCAAACGCTTTGCATAGGTTGATCAACATATGAATCTAGGTTTATCATGGATTATAAAAAAATAGTCTTACTCCAACCCGCCCCCCCTTAGTTAATTTGAATGTTCGGGTGCGACTGACACCTAACTTTCTAACCGAACTCTCTCGAGTCAAGCTAAACCCTGCCGAAGCTCGGGTCCCGGCGGCCCAACGCATTGGCAACCTCGGAGAAAGCCACAGCCCCGCTCGGCGAATGAAGAGATACCAAGCCGTAGACGTGGAGTTGTTGTAACGATCCCTCTGCAAACAGTGAAACACGTTTGCGGGTCCCATTCAAATTCGAACTTCAACCAAACAGTTAAAGTATAAAAGATCTAACCAAATGGCCAGAAAGCAATGTGGAGTTGAACACGGTCAGAGCGGAAAATCAGCATTGACCAACAACATCCTGGATATTGCTCTTTATGCTGGCATGGTCAACATGCACACAAACATCCAAAGCATTGGGCTTTCTCCTTCCCATCTCAGAAAGACGACATCGAGGCTATGCCAATTGGCCTTCCCTTGTGGTTGTCACAGCTCTTCCAGTCTCGAAAGGATGGGCCAACAAAGCTCGAAACTTATTGTTAAAACCAAAATGGTCTTTCCAAAAAGTTTGAAGCGAAGGAACTCAGGGAGTGAGGTCTTGACTGACATGGCAACTTCTTCCCCGTGACGTTCCCAATCACCAACCTGTGCCCCGGTCCTCCCTAGTTCTCCCCACGGGTGAATTCCCGAAACAAGGAAACCATACACGTGGCTTTTCTCGGGGTGATTTCCTTCAGAGTTCCACTTTTTGACTAATAGTGTATGCAAGCTAACCAAACGGCACCACACAAGCACGCGATAACTCTTTTATCCGAGCAATGTGTTGGTGCCAGGGACTCATCTTCCCCTGTCAGATGTCAAAGGCTGGGTGGGCCTTATGGGCCACCCAACTCACAATCTCAAAAACTGAAGAACGGGTGTGCAGACTGATAGCGCCCGCCCCTAAGCCGGGGCCCGGGGCACCCAGGCCACAGGGGGGTCTGCCACCAGGGGAAGTGAGTCACCCACCGGCTCCGGTCACGGGAGCATGGGTGGGCCCACGCTAAGATCAAATGCATCTCCATTCAGGAGACGCGGGAGAAAAACGAACTCCTCGCAGAGTTCCTGTTTGGGGACCCTGTGCAAAGGGTCGAACCCAGAGAAATCTGGGTGCGTCAGTTCATCAGCCCATTGGTTGAATTCCCGGGGCACGTGGTTGGCCGCCAGCGAGCAGCCATGGGTGTGGAGCAGGAAGACCAGCTCCATCAGGATCGCCGCCGTGTAGGGCTTCTTGGATCCAAGGTTGAGCATCGCCATGACGTTGCCCTGATTGTCACTGCCCACCGGGAGTCGGACCCGGGAGGACAGAGGGCCTTGGTGCGTGAGGATCATGTTACAGAGGAAGAGCGTGCCCAGCATTTCCAAAGCCGCAATCCTCCGCTTGGGATCCCCATTCTTGAATGCCCAAGGGTACTCCTCCACGTGGATCTGCTCGTGGAACCAGTACACCTCCTTCTTTTCCGGCTCCACTTTGTTGGAGCACCAACCTCCCACAAATGCCAGTCCTTCGTCCGAGGCGCTAGCATCGCTGCAACCCCACCAAGAGGACTTCGGCAAGTAAGGGGAGTACTGGACGAAGGGCGTGTTGAAGAGCATCCTGACCACCTTGGGGGGTTTCCCCACCGTGGTGGTGGCCATCTTCCAGGCCCAAAGTGGCTGGAGCATAGACTTCGCCAGCGGACATGCAGTCGCCCATTGGATGCGGCCCAGGGCCTTCTCGATGTCCTTTGAGTGCATCGCCTGCCCTTCCACCATGGTCTGCAAAACCTCCATCACCAGGATGTGTTTGTTGGCGGCCATGAGAACCTGCGGGATGTTCGGGTGGACCACGAAGCCCAGCCACGTGTTAACCTCCGCCAAATGTGTCTTCTTCCAGCTAAGCGGGGTGCCCAAGGCCAGGACTGTTGCCAACAGCGCCACCGCCAAGTTTACTGCCCCCTCGCTTCGAAGCAGCCACAGGAAGTCATCCACAAAGACGAAGTTCCAATCCACTTGAGGGAAAAGTGCGTAGAAGACCCTGAGTAGAAGTGCTGCCAGGCGTCCCCAGTAGGATTTATCACTGGCCATGCCATATGTGCCTACCTTGTTCACCCACCATTCTTCCCCCAGTGAAGCCACCTGGAATCGCCAGTCCTTCTTGAGGACCTTCACTCTCCGTGGGCCTTGGTGACGTCCGCCTTGAGCAGCACCCACCTGGTGCCCGGCTCCGGCCATAGCCAGCCCCCAGGTGGAGGTTTGACGACCTCAGCTGCCGCATGTAGCCAATGAAGAGCTTGTACCCCATCCAGCACCGTCGGAGCCGTCGTCCTTTCCACCGTCTGGTTCCTGATGGTGTCATTGGCCCCGCCCACCGAGCCATCGTAGATGGTGCGGATCTTGTCCCCTTCGTCTGCCCGCTAGGGGTCCGGGACAAAGGTCCTCAATTTCGCAGCCACAGCGCGATGCTGCCACCCCTCTACCATGCCCATGGGGACCTCCTCCAGGAATGTGCCCCGGATGAGCTCACTGAAGTGGTCCGCCGAAGGGTAGTTACCCCGGCCCGTGGGGTGAGGGAGTTCCTGGAACTCCGGCTCCTCCCCTTTCAGCTCCTTCTTGAGTGGCCAGATGCCCGGCGAGGCCAGGGGTGGGTCCGTGACTCTCAGTGGGACCCCTTGCTCCAGATCCCGAGGAAACTGGTGGTCGGGGTCCTGAATGTTCAGCGCCACGCTGTAAGAAGGGTTGGCCTTCAGCTGGTCGGCCTGCCCCCGGCGCCAGAATCTCCCTCCAGCAGGTCCTCCGGGAAGGGATGTGACCCCTCCCCCAACGACAGCGACTCCTGAAGCTTGTCCCCCCATGGCGAAGTGAGGACACAGATCTTGGCCCCCATCGCTGCTGCTTTGGACAGTGGCCGAGTCCACGGGGCCAGCCGTCCCAATGAGGGCTTTCCCCCCCCGTCCCTTAGGGGGCGCTGTTTGAAGGCCATCTGGAGGTACATGACCTTGTCGGAGAGATTTGGGTCGTGCGTGATCGGCAGGGTGGTGGGCCGATCCGAGATTTCCATGCAATGGCGTGCCCATGGCTCAGGGGAAAGAGTTCCCCCCCGAAGTTCGTCCGTCTCGCCAGCCCTCTGCGTCGGTGTCCGGACCTCCGGATTGTCCGAGGCCGAGACCGGAAGTGACGCCAACGCTTGTTGGCCGGCCTTCAGCCTCCGGGACTGGCGCTTGTTGTCCCCCGGCGTGCTGGGAGAAGGTTCCCTCTGTCGCCTCGGGGGTCGTTGGGTTCGCCTGGGGCACCGTGCCCCCCGGCCTCAGCGCCTCCAGGACGGGTCCCGCTCTGCAAAGGATGGCGGCTGCGAGACCCTGCGGTACCGGCTGAGGTCACTGGAGTTGAGCTTTTCCCCCCTGGGGTGAGCTCCGTGGTTGCATCGCAGATCATGCCAATGGTGAAGGGGAAGGTCCGTTGACAATGTCGTGGATTTCACTACCACCTGGCCCAGGCACTCGTCAAACTTGATGAGGGAGTGGTGGAGTGCGTTCGCCCATTGAATGTAGGCCCGTGTGACCCAGATCGATGAGCACCTCGCTGCGCTCGGGCTCTTGCTGCACTCCATTGGGTCCATTGGGTGCTCCAAGAAGGAGGAGCCCACCTGCGGGGCCGTTAGCTGACCTAGCCCCTTGTAGGCCAGCGAGGTCAGGTACATCTGTCGGAGCATGAGCACGCTGTCGTTGTCCGTGCCCATAACCCGGGGCTCCAGGTCCTCTAAGCCCCACACAGTCTGCTCCGCTCTGCCCCTCACCGGCGGCGGGCCACCCGGTTTGGGGAACCATCTGAGAATGCTCCACGTCCTGCAGTTGGGGCCGCCCCCCACAAAGGCGACCTTGCCCGCCATGGCCATGGAGCACATCGTAGAGTAAGGCTCATCTCCCAGCATGTCCTGTCCAAGATCTCCACCCTTTCGCCTGATGTCCACCGCCCAAATGTACTCCGAGAAGGCCGGGTTGTAGGCATGGAGGTAAGCATCCAGGGCCCCCGCATCATCCTTCCCAGCGTACAGCAGGATGAGGGACGGCTTTGACGACTCCGGCACCGTCTGAGCCTCAGTCTTTCCGGGGTGTCCTGCATCCATGGGAAGGTGGGGCTTGCCCCCCCTAGGGATTCCGTGCGTCCTTTGTCTGACCCTCCAGTCATCTGTCCCTGGGCTTGCTGCTTGCCCTGGCGGTTCTTCCCGCCTTGGAACGCGCCTTGCCGGGCGGATCCTCACCTCTGGGTCTCTCTGGGGGTCTTCCCACTGCCTCGGTGGGTGCGGGGGAAAGGGGTGCTTCCGCCCTTCTGGAGTGCCCTGGCTGGGTCCGCTCCTCTTCCTCGGTGGAGGGGCTTCCGGGGCCGGTGGCACCCTGGAGAAGCCCCCTCCCACCTGAGGCCGTCCTGGCCTCCCCCGCTCTGTCTGCCTTTCGCTGTGGCTCTGGTGGGGTTGGCTCTCCCCCGCTGTGTGCACTCTCGCACTGGTGGCCTGTGATCCCAACGGAGACCAGGAAGCCACGGGGCCTATGGCACCTTGAGTGCTCCTGTCACTTGGGAAGGTGTGGGCATGCCTGTGGCACATGCTTCGATGGGGGGGCATCGCACACCCACCCATCCTTCCGTTGTGGGATCGGCCGCATGATCCCGAACACTTGTTGTGAAGGTGATGATCTCTGCAGTACGCCACCCCTTTGGGATTCTTGAAAGCCCAGTGGTCTGACCATGGAATCGAGGGGGTGTTGGGGGACTTCCCCTTGCCGCCCTTGCCCTTCGGCTTGGACCGGGTCGGCCCCGAGGGCCAGGAACCCTTCTCCCACTGAGTCTGCCACACCTTGGGTGCCTTGCTCTTGCTCTTCCCCTTCTCCGGCGCCCTGTTGAGGTGCTCATAGACCTCCCGTTGCCAGAAGAGGAAGTCGCCCCTGATGTTCTTGAGGGCTTCGGAGAGAGTGGTGCCCTGGTGCACCATCTCGTGGATCTTGCGCCATGCATTGCGCTCTGCGAACAGCAAGGTGGTGTCGCTCGGGGGAGGCTTCCTGCCGGCGATGTCTTCCCCATAGAACCAGGCATACCAATCATCCAACTCCTCCTTGGTGACCC